CTGTAATGCACATTTTTACTACCATACCTTCTTGGGGATCAACTTTGGAGAATAGATGTGAGATGGTAGGACAGTTTGGAGACAATTTAATACCATTGAATAGGTTATCATGGACTAGATTATTCAGTTTTGTTCAAAGGGCTTCAGAGACCAAGAGGAATAAGTAAGGAGACAGGGGATCTCCTTGTCTTAATCCCCTTTCAGGGATTATTATGTCTCTAGGGGACCTGTTAACCAGAATTCTATAAGTCACAATTCATTATCCAACTTATCCACCTCTCTCCAAACCCTAATCTTTGGAACACCACTTTGAGAAAAAGTCATTCAACTCTATCATAAGATTTGCTTATATCTAATTTGAGAGTCATCCACTTCCTCTTCCTCTTTCCCTTTGTATGTTTCATGTAATGAATCACTTCATGAGCTATGAGAATGTTGTCCTATATTACTCTTCCCGGAGTGAAAGCATATTGGTTTGGCCCCACTAACTTGTTTAGGAAAAGTTTCAATTTATTTACTAAAACCTTTGCTATAATTTTATAAATTGTGTTGCACAAACTAATCAGTCTGAAATGACTAGGTAACTCCAGATTTTTTAACAGCTTTGAAAATACCATCATCCACCACTCCCCAATATTTCTAAAAAAACAAATTTGGCAGTCCATCTGGGCTGGGGGCTATTTGAAATAATAACTCTTTGACTTTCTCCAAAGTCACATCCATTTCTAATTGAAGCCCTTATGCTTCATCTATTCTCTTATTAAGGCCATTTGTGAATTCTTTTATTCCAATAGGATTTAAGGATTTGAAAATTTTTCGAAAATTTTTGTTTAGGATATTTTCAATTTCCTTCCCATCACTACACCAAATTCCTTCCTCATTTTTGAGGTTTAGTATTCTGTTTTTGGCTCTTCTTCAAAGTAAGAGCATGGAAGTACTTTGTGTTCCTATCCCCATATAGAAGCCAATTTATCCTTGCCTTATGGAGCCACATAACTTCCTTCTCTTTCAAAGCTTTATCCAATTCTTTTTCCAAACTCTTCAAATTTCCTTTATGTAAATCATTCCCCGATTTCTTCTGAACATACTCAATTTTCTCTTTTAACTCCTGGATTCTTCTCTGGATATTTCCAAACACCTCCTTATTCCATCTCTAAAAATTTTTCCTGATTTCCTTATTTTTTTTTGGCACAATTTAAACTGATATGATCCCATGGGATCAATCCCCCATCTGTATTTTACTACTTGCTCACATTGATCATGAGATATCCACATTATCTCAAAATGAAAAGGTTTGTTCCTCCACCTTCCCTTTTTTTTCTATTTCCACCATAATAGGACTATGATCTAATCCTATGGTCACCATTACCCTCACATAGGCTTCTTCAAACAATTGCTTCCACCCAAAATTACACAGACCCCTATCCAATCTGGCTCTTATTAGATCATTGCCTTCCTTTTTGTTTAACCAAATAAATCAAGGTCCTGTGCTAGTTAATTCTTGTAGTCCACATTGGCTATGGAGGTTTCTATTTTTTTCTAGATGAAAGATTTTACTTATCCTACCCCCTTCTTTTCATTTAACTGGAAGATTAAGTTTAGATCTCCAATACAGAGCCATGGTTCCAAAGTTAGATATGGAAATCTTTCCCATTTTTTATATAAACTTTGTCATTTTTCCTTTTTTTGGTTCCCCATAGATGAAGGAACAACACCAACTGCCATTCTTATTATCCAAAACTCTGGTATGTATAAAGTTGTTATTTGCATACAGGATCTTCAAGTTTACTTCTTCAGTCCAGAACAATGCTAGGCTTCCTCTCAAGCCATAGGAATCCACTCCCCAACACTCCCATCTTTTGAGAAAGCTTAGTTTTTCCCTATAGTTTATTAAAGAGGTTTTGATTTCTATTAAGAAAATTATTTTTGGTTTTTCTTTTGATTGGATCGCTTTTAGGGCATGATCTATCAAGAAGGATCATATTCCTTGATAGTTCCAACTCATGATCCTCATTTGGCTCTTGGGTTCTGTTGCGGGATAGAACCCCCAACCCACTTATTTAAACCCATGGTATTCTTTAGGTATGGACCAAGATCCAGCCTATTTGGATTCACCCACATCTTTCCTATATTTCTGAGCCATGTCTCCTGCTTTCTACGACAGATTTGATTTTCTTTGCATATCGGCCTAAAATTCCATGTTTTACACATTTTCCTCTCTTTTTTTTTCCACCCCTCTCAGAACTTTCTTTGGGACCCTTCCCACTCTCTAATTTTTATTAAGTAGCTTCTACTTTTTTTTTGAGCTCTCCCTCTGAATGATTTTTTCCTCTTCTTTTTCTCTTTCTAGGATGAAGCATAATTAAAAAAAATAAGGGACTGGACACTCCATATCTATCAGTTCACTTTTAAAATATGGAAGTAAACTCTTAACAACACAACCTTTTGGAATTAAATTTAGCCATATCTTGTCTTTGAGCAAACCTTTTGAGGCTTCTTCACCACTTGTGTCGTCTTCCTCCATATCTCTATCACACCCTTTAGTACCTTCCAGATTCAACATCATGTTGCCTCCATCCAAGTTGTCACATAACAGAGGTTCTATGTTCACATCTTCTTCCAGCTTTTCCGAGTTTTGATCAAAACCCAATGGTTGACTCAGGAAAATCAAACTCACTTGTTCTCTGACCACTGGTTAGTTTCTCCGGTCGGCCTCTTCCTCTCTTTGGCGTTAGAACTAACTTAAAGTTTGACTCTTTGGCGAGGAGATTTCTCAGTCCTAGAATAACATATGATCATCCTGGGACAATCTTCGGGAGGTTTGGGCCTCCTCTCTATTTGCCTTTCCAGTGAGCTTGCCATTTCCTTGTGTTTGCTTCACCTTGCGTCTAACATTCGCTCTCTGGCAAAGAAAGCCTTGGGTTGAAGGCTTTCCTCTAAGTCCTCATCCTTGTGCTTCTGCCCATCTCTAATCCTCCCTTAGATTCTATCTTGTTGATAAATTTTAAATTCTCCTTATCTGTTAGTGCTTTCAAATTTAGGCCGTAATAGCCTGTTTTGATCATGTTCTCCACCGTTTGTCTTCCAAGCCTATTAGCCAACTCCTCCAAAACTTGATCACTTGATATTAACTTGCATCTTTCTTATTCATGACCAATCAATCCACATCTCATACAGAAAACTGGTAGCCTCTCATATTGAAAAGCATACCACTTCTTCTCACCGTTTTCTTCCTCGTTGAAATTTCCTTTCACCAACGGGAGTCAACATTTAACATCACTCTTATGCTAAAAACCCTATTCCACATAGCTTCTCCCTCCTCTCCTTCATTTTCTAGTCCCACATCCTTTATCGGAGTTCCAACAATCCTAACCATTTTTGCTCCCCATTCCCATGTCATCTTTTTTGGTGGTACTCCAAGAATCCTGATTGTGATTCTCATTTAAGTAAAATGCAAATACCTAGTGTTGGCTCTAGGGAACCATCTCCGGAAAAGGGTAGCGTATCCTTTTACCATCCATGGTTTATGCTGTAGAAACAGTTCCAGATCACTTTCCTTTTTAAAAACAACCCAAAGAACTTCATCACTGAGCCATTTTGCTTTGTATTTGTTGTTACTCTAAAAGTTTCTTACTTGGAGCACTCCGAAGGCTTTCATTGATTTATCTACAAGCACTTTCCCAAAAAGGGCTCTAGAACATCTCTATTCCATTTTTCCCCATTCGTAGCGTTCACCTTCTTCCTCACTTTCTTGAGACAAACTAGACTTTAAGTTGAGGATAAAGTGGCTGAAGAAAAGGAAAAACCAAACTTCATAGTCTGGCATTAAAGAACTTTAAAGTAGAGGGTGCTCCGAGCGCATTTTACCCATTTTTTCCAAGTGTTAAAAGAAGAAAAGGGGAAGAAAGGTTATGAAACTAGATAGGTGATCCTTCGGTTACAGTTGATCATTGAATGGGGGAGGTTGAATAGGTGATAGGTGTCCAGTTTCATAACTTTTCTTCCCCTTCTTTCTAACACTTAAATGAAATAAATAAAATGGTCAGAAAAATATTATCATGAAAGGTAATTTTACTATTTTGAAATTATTTAATGCACACATAATATCACGTAACGGTATTGACTAATGGTCAATTAACCGTACAGACCTATTATACACGATTTGAAAATTTAGGGCACTACAAAGACACGTTTTGAGTTTCAGGACGAATTGGGATATACTCCTTCCAAACGGCGCCTCACACCAACCTTACAACCACATTACTTGTATTAGGAACATCTCCCTTGAATAATAAATATAAATACCGGAGATGTTCTCGATGTGTGGCGAGAATATGCTATGAGGTTAGTGTGAGGCACGCTCTTTGTGGAGCAGATCTAGACTCTTTGGAAACTGACTTGACACAACCCTAAAAAGTTCAGGATACAAGAATTTTCCCTTTATTATTCATAATTAAATATTGGATGCGTTTAATCAAGGGATTATAGCAGATAATGACAACTTTTGGGCCCTAATATCAATAAAAGTAATACTTTTAATAAAATTTAAAAAACAGGTTAACTTTTTAAAAATAATATCAAATAAGGGTAAAAATACTATTCATCTTCTTTCTTTTGCAGATCATTTATTAGCGCCATTGCCTGTCATTGCCTACAACAACCTCCGACAATGCCTTCGCCCTCCTCCTCCCACCTCTGCTTCGCCTCCAGAGGTGGGCGGAGGCAGAAGCGGAGGTGGCGGTGTTGGGTAGAGGCCGAGGCGGAGTAGGTGGGAAGAGGCATTGCCGAAGGTTGCTGGAAGCGGCAACGAGCAGCGGTGCTGATGAATAAATTTCAAGAGAAAGAAGATGAACAGTATTTTTGTCCTTATTTGATATTATTTTAAAAATATAATCTAGTTTTAAATTTTATTAAAAATATTAGTTTTATTGATATTAGGGCCCAAAAGTGCCCTTAAGTGCCCTTAACTACTATAATCCCTTTCATGTATAAAAGATTCCAATCCTTTGGGTTTAGCTGTTTAGGGTTTATTCGATCCCTTGCTCTCACGCAGAAACTCTCTCTCTCTCTCTCTCTCTGAGCGTCTCCTGAATTACCAGACAGTGAGAGCAATGAGGAAGCTCAAGTTCCATGAGAAGAAACTTCTGAAGAAGGTGAATTTTCTCGAATGGAAGAGAGAAGGAGGCCACAGGGAAGCCCATGTTATGCAACGTTATCATGTCACTGGCAGAGACGATTACAAAAAGTGATTTCTTTTCTTTCTTTCTGTAATTTCATATATCCATGCTATTGTTTGTGCTTCGATATTTTACCTTTTCTAAATTTTCTTTTTCTTCTTCTTGATTGAGCCATGAATTCAATTTGTTTCTCTTATTTATAACATTGCGAGACTCGCAGATATTTTAAATATGTCTCTTGGTTATTGTTTTTCTTTTTTTTTTTTTTCTTTCAGATATTCGAGTTTATGCCGGATGGTGCAGAAGCTCGTGAGCATATTGATGACAATGGACCCAAGAGACCCTTTTCGTATCGAGATGACCGATATGCTCCTTGAAAAGCTGTAAGTTCTCCTCACACATGAAGAAAAATTTAAACTTTCTAGGTTCTAGGTTCACGTATTCCGGTGTTGAATGAGAATGGTTGGTTGATTTACAAAAAAATGTCATTAGGCTCCTCTGCCCCTGACTTTTACTGTGTTATTTTTCTTAATATTTGAGTTCTCTGCTAATGTAGCATATCTCTTTAACGAAACATGATTCGTTATCAAGAATTTCTCAGTGACTCCCAATTGGAATTTGCTGGTTTTGATGAATTTGACCTCCTTGCTCCACAACAACTCCACGTTGCTCCATGACTGGAATTGATTCCGAAGTTTGCTTTTAGCGATATTTGACAAGTTGATGCATAGAACTCAAAATTCCTGATTTCTGAAATGATGTCTTCAAATATGAAATCCCAACAACAAATTCCAGCTATACAGTTCTTTTAAGATCTATTTTATAATGATCTGTCATATGAGTTGCCCTTGCCTACTGACCGTATTATGAAACTATGTTTTCAAATATCCATGGAATAAAAGACTACATAGTTTACACATACCATTGAGAAGGCCAGAATTGAGTTCAGATATGCAAACATTTTAAGATGAAATGAAAAAAAAAATATAGGCACCCATAAGTAGTCGTCTAGCTCAATCAAGATGGGCTAAAACAATTTCAAGTGCTATGAATTTTTTGAGGTGGCAGTTTTCAGTCGGTGTTTCTCATTGAATCTAGTAATCTACTTTCAGGTTGATGGCTGGCCTTGGCCTTGTACTTTACATGGAACATCTGATGTCATTGATTGAACTATAGACATCCACTTCATTGGTTTATCCATCTTATTCCCTAGTTACATTTTAGTGGCGGTAGCTCTTTCTCAGCAACTTGAATAACCTGATATTAGTAATTCTTTAGATGCCAAGTAATAACAGTGCTGCCCAATTGTTGGACCTGAGGACCATGTGATGATAGAGCAATATAACTTGTTTTTCCCTTCCATGATACACAAGAAACAATTAGGTCCTTCCAGGGCTTCTGGAGTGTAGACTGCATACAATTAACTTGCAATTTCTTAGAATCTAACTCATTGAGTTTTTGTAGACATTTACTATTAATTTGTGCTTTACATTGTTCCTACTGCCTCCCTCCTCCCCTGTCAAAAAAAAAAAAAAAAGGAAAAAAGAAAATCAAAGAAAAAGATAATACAAAAATCCTGTGTTCTTCCTCCTACTACATCCCATTTGCTGTATGCCGGGTCATCTGGAATGAAAGGAATAGGAGGCAGTTCGAGAATAAGTCCTAAGAGTATTGAAGTGTTAGTGGCCTCAGTTGGGAAACTAGTTTTGGATTGGGTATTGGTGCTCATGGATTTTATTCAGGTTAATAGAACAGATTTGGGGGAGAGCTTCTGGAATGTACTTGAAATCCAAGATTGTAATGCTGAACTATTTTCTATAAACTAGTTTGCAGTTGATTTGTGTTGGTGGGGTATCTCCTTAATACCTCTCAGATTGTAACTTTACATTTTTATGATTGATGTAATCTTTCTTCTCCTTAAAAAAATGTTCTTTCTCCTACATTTTATTTTAAATGCATGTCTTCACGAGGATTTTATTAGTGCTACACTGCTACCAGGATACTTCAAGATTAGTAGGTCATGATTCTAAAACTTGGACAAGATGAATTGCACAGGATGAGATAACACGATGATGCTCTATTCTGGAGTCAGAAGAAAATGTTGGCACTTGAGATTCCCAAATAAGGTCTCATGAGACGGGGGGCATCATCCATCCAATTATGGATGATAATTATTTCATTTTCAAATTTTCTTTACCTTTATTTTTATTATTTTTATATTATTTATCTAATTTAAGATTTATTTATGGAAATTTTCCCATGTCATGAACTCATGATTAAGATTGACAGGGTGGACACTTTTATATTATTTATCTAACATTGGTTTTATTGTTTCAATACGTGATATAAATTCGTTCATTACCATTATTGATATTGGACCTCTTGCAGTTCATTACCTCAAATTAGCATTTCTTTTGACAAGTTGAGAGGGGTGGAGAACAAATATTTAGAGGTTGATAAACATTTAATTAGTTAACTTGGATTAATGAAGAACATTTGAAGTCTTTCTAAGGATGAAAGAGTTCCAGTTACCTTTTGACCAATTGTAAGGTCTGTTATAATTGAAGACATGATTCATGATTAGTTTAACCCCAATGGAAATGAATCATGAATGTCACTGATAAGGCTTTATGATTTAAGATGCTATTATTGGTTAAACCTGGAAGATACTGGAATACTTGAGCCTTGTAGTTTCTCTTAGAATTAAAGCATTCCTTTTATACGATTGGTTTTGTTTCCATGTCAATGCCAGGTATAATATGGGTGTAATCCCTACCAGGAAGAGCTTGGCTTTGTGTGATCGTTTGTCTGTATCTTCCTTTTGCAGGTCTGCTTTCTCTCCATGTCCACTCAATTCGCATTTCTCTCTCATACACACATAAATCTATATGTACACATCTAAATATTTCTCTCTTGTGCACATATTGATTGGCCCACCTCCTTTTGCATGTGCCATATGCTCAGAGCATAAGGACTGACCACTTAGTTTTTGCCTAACAGATCATCCAGATGAAAAAAAAAAGAGTATAACTACATGAAATTTAACCATCTAATCTTTGCAAAAAGAGAATAAAAGAAAAAAAGGTTCATAGTATTCTATAATTTCTAAGGCTTTTTTGACCATCAGACTAAATATGGTGGAAAGGGAATAGTTTAATAATTGATTTTTATAGAGTTAATCTATTAAGTGGTTCATCTTTACGTCCCAGACCTCTAAGCATGCAATTTCAGCAAGAATCTTTTTAGTAATATAAATGATCTTTGCATCCAAAAGCATTTCTATTGTCTCTAGCAGTCTAGCTCAATCGTTTTGTTGTCTATGTAAAATTGCACTTTCCAGTTTTTCATGTTGTTGGAATAATCTTTATATGTTTCATTTCCAGGCGAAGGCTATCAACTATATTGGTGAAATTGAAGTTTGCAGAACACTTAAGAGAAGCTGTTACATATATCGAGCAGGGCCACATCAGAGTGGGCCCAGAAACAGTTACTGATCCAGCATTCCTTGTTACCAGAAACGTGGAGGACTTTGTTACATGGGTGGACTCATCAAAGATAAAGAGGAAGGTGTTAGAATATAACGAGAAGCTGGATGACTATGATGCCATGAACTGAGAGTTGTACAAGGTTATTTCCTTCACACAAATATAGGCACAGTGAGTTCTCTTGATAGTCATCTTTGAAGAAATGAGATTCATGGTGGCAAAAAATGCGCCATCTTGACCTTCAGATGAAAAGTCTGAGGACCATTTCTTCAAAGTCAAGGCTTCAGAACGGGAAAAGTGTTGTTCCTTCGGTTGTACTTGATTTGGTAGTTTTTTTGTGATTTGATAGCATGAGGATATGGAACTATGGGTTCAGAATTTCAGATGGTTCATCTTCTTTATTGAATTTACCGCTCGGAGCAACTTCTATCTCATGGCCTCATGGGTAACAAAGAAACTAATTTACTTGATTCGAACATGGAATGATTACTGTTAAGCAAAATGGCTATAGTTATGATTCATTATTCCGTGCCAATCTGTTAATTGATTTCATTTGCATATCATGTCCTTGTTGAGACCAGTTTAGTCAGTTTAAGAAAAGAAAGAACATGTGAGCCATAAGCATGCAGAAACAACGACAGTAGTGGTAAGTACACATTTTTTGGTTAGAGTGAGATTTGCTTTGATAGTAGTTGAAAACAGTAGTACTGTCTTGATTGTTAATTCCATTTGAACAACATTGTTACTCTCCGAGGATCCAAAAACGTGGACAATGGAAAGTGACTGTTAATCTGCTCAATCAACTAACTTGTATGTACTATCCTGTAAGTGCCAGATTCCATCCCTTACAAAACCAACCTTTCCCAATGATACTGCTTGATTAGGATCAATCTCTTGGGATTTGGAATAAGAGTCTCACATAACCTGATTATCAATGAATGGCATTGGAGGAGAATCATCTTTTGAGCAAGTCTAGTCATCAGCCTAGCGTAAATAATTATTATCTCTGACATCTTCTCATAACCCTTCAGAACTATTATATCATAAACCTACAAATCATCCAAGGTGACATACATTTTAGAGTTTGATACTTCATTTGGATAATTTTCCAAGCCCATGATGACATTTGCTTCTTCTTGCAAACAAGAAAGGCTTCATTGCAAAATAGAAGAGGTACAGGCAGCAGATAGGCTGCTATCCATACATAACGTTCAATTATGTTTCTATGCCTTATAAGCAAGGTCATGGGCAGCCATATTCATATTTCTACTAATATGATCTATCAAAAGAGTTCATCCGAATCACTTCTTCCTTGATCGGCTTGATCGACCAGTCTTCACCTATCTACCTGATTATAGTAACTGTTTACAATATTGCTTGAGTGAGTGAATATAGCTAACGATCTGATTTGCAAAGTTGCTGCGGCCTGCTTCAATCCAAAAAAGAAAGCCCACCATTCAGCTTGGTAACTGCTTATTGCTTCCACTCTCCGACTGCCTGTAAATATTGGGCGATCATCATTAGAAACGATTGTATCGCCAATGCCTGCTAGTCCTGATGTGGACTGGAAAGAGCCATCAATGAACAACAGATGATAAGTGATGGTAATTTGTAGTAGAACTATTCACAGGTGCAGTCAAATACATGTACATTCCTTGCTTGGTCAATTAACTGTACTGGGTTTAAGGCTATCTTGTTATGAGCAATAGCATTTCTCATATTCCATATGAAATTTCAATCTTCTAATCGGATCTCTCTCCAAGATTATCTTTTCAGACATTATTGGGCCCATACTGTTGAACATTGGTTCTTTAAGCCAAGAAAAAAGAAGATTTGTCTCAGACTTTATTTCTTAATTGGAAACGAAAAGGACAAGCAAGTAAGACGTGTTAATAGAATGCAAATATGGTGCAGAGAAAGAAAAGAGATGAATCTCAAAAACTTTTGGGCTAAGCTTCTTCATTTTGTTCCCCTCTTTTTTACATTAGACTTTCTGCTTTCTATCTGAACTATTTGGACCTTTTTGTTATTGGAAGAACCTATTTGGGAAGAATAGCCCACCTCTTTAGATCGTTTTGAGTTTGATACTGCTTTGATGATGATAAATCAAGCATTCTTAAATCTCTACAATCAGGAAATCTGAACCATTTGATTGATTTTTGAAGTTAATCAAATCGAACAGGCATAAGAACCAGATATTTTTATGAGGTTGTCATCCTTGGAAGAATAAAATAGACTGCATGAATAATCTCATAATAAAGAAAAAAACGAATCGATGAGAAAAACAGTCCTAAAACAGTTTGTGATTGAAGGCCAAGCTGAAGTGACAAATCACCCACTTCGGAAACAAATAATACGCTTCTGACAAATTTGTAATAGATCTTTTAGTTTCGGTCTACAGGAGGGATGAGAAGAGGCTTACAAAAATAACAGTCCATTGGGATGAACGTACAATTCGATTCAACCTGTATTTGAGATCTGAGAGGGATGTACAGGAGAATCTTATATCGAAAATTTGAAAATTTGTTAGTTTCTTGTTCAAGTAAATATTCTATTTTGCACTTTCATGGGTCCTTAGCCTTTAATTTATTAACTAGAGTCAATATTTGATGGGTTAATGTTAAGTGTTTCATGATTGACCAGGAAAACATTGCCATCTGTGTTCTTCCCCTTGATATAAGTTTGGATGATTCGAAGAACTACTCCACATCCGTATACATTAAAGCACTGTTTTCAAAATCGGACCGGACCGGACCGGACGGAAAAACTGGGGGTCGGTTCTATTTTCCTCTAAAACCGTTTTTTCTTCCAAAATCGTTGATTTTAGTCAGTAAACCGTTGAATCAGTCGGTTAATTGTTTGAATGGTTTTGACCGTTTTCCAATATTTTTTTTTTATTTTTTTTGTCAGACCGGGCCGACTGTTCGGATTGAACGGTCTGACCATTCGAACCAATAACAGGACTCCTGATCGATTCAGTCACCGGTTCGTTTTTAAAAACCATGCATTAAAGGCAAAGTACAGTTTGAGTATGGGTTCAAAGTGTGGACCTTTACAACTGAGGCCCCACTCTTCATATGGGTTGGGTTCCACATGTTTTAGACCATAAATTGTGTTGATGCCGACTTCTAGATGGTTCTGGAGCTTTCTTTCTTTCTCAGTGGAATCCCCAAAGATATGCGTAATATGCGATGGAAAATGTACCTGATGAAGGGAAATTTGGCCCGACCTCGCAATCGCCCGACACGTGGCAAAGGCAAACAACTCGAGACAGTAGAGCGCCCGAAGCGAACATCGGAAGCAAGTCCAAGCTCACTACCGAGCCCGAACTCCAGACCGCTCTACTAGGAGTCCGAGCTCCCTACCAAGAGTCCGAGCTCCCTACTGGGAGTCCGAGCTCCCTATTAAGAGCGAGCTCCCTATTAAGGGTCCGAGCTCCCTAATAAGAACCCGAGCTACCTACTGGGAGCCCGAGCACCCTATTAAGAGCGAAGCTCCCTACTGAGTCCGAGCTCCTTATTAAGAGCGAGCTTCCTACTGGGAGTCCGAGCTCCCTATTAAGAGCGGGCTCCCTATTGGGAGTCCGAGCTCCCTATTAAGAGCGAGCTCCCTACTGAGAACCCGAGCTCCCTGCAAGGAGCACAAACTATACTTGGCCCCAAGCCTCACAAAGCTGTGACCCAAGCTGGCCCATGGCAGCTCGGAACACTCCCCAAACCGAACTCAAGACACCTCGCTCGCCACTCCAACACTTCGCTTCCGAAACACCAGGCTGACCAAACGTATCTGACACCAAGGACGTCCGTATCCAAGGGCGACGCACTTGACTGATTTGGGATTTGACGCCTGACAGCCGCACTTCAAACGACCTCCTGCTACCGCCACCTGCAACCGTCGTCACTAGCCGCAAAGACGGCTCCGACAAAGGAGCAGTGGCGGTTCTGTCCGGCCAGAGGAAATGACATCCGAACTGGCAGGAGTTCAGAAGTAATCATGCCTGATCTGACGGAAGCCTGGAAGTGAGTGCACGAGGTGGTTATAAAAGGCTCTTACCCCGCAGGAACGAGGTATGCTAACTTTTGCGCTATCTGGTCTATCTTGCCTTTGAAAGACTCTAACTTGAGCTTCGGAGCCCTTACGCCGAGTTCTCCCCGGAGCTTCTCTTCTCCTTCCGTTTCAGGTCCCTACCACTCAGTTCAGAGGCAAGATCGTCGACAGCTAAGATCGGCCGGATTGTGCATCATCAATTGGCGCCGTCTGTGGGAACGCTTCAAAAGGCCTCCCTCCAAAACTTTCATACCCCTTTCTTCTTCTTTGAAAAACTCCATACTCATGGCATCCTCCGGACGCGGCACAGAGACAAACCACCGGGGAACAGCCTCAAGTTCCCGTGGTGTGTGTTGGRCAGTTCACCATCCCCCTCTCGGTGGACGGAATTCCCAATCTGAATACGCCACAAGCAGTGGTGCCTGCAAACCTACCTGCCACAAACATCCCCTTTCCTCTCCCCATCGAAACTACCCTCACTGAA